GCTTGACGTTGATTGGCTGGTGATTGTGCGATCCTTCAGGCGCCACCGCTCGTCCGCCAGACGGTGGTTCAGTGTTGCCACTCCTACTGATTTATCAGTATAGATCTACTGATTTTTTCAGATTTCTGCTGATTCAGTTTTAATACCACCGAATCTATTGATTTTGGTCCTTTTTGCCTACACGTGGTCCAAAACTACTACTATTTCCTCCAAGGCGCGCCCTCGAGTAATTTCGGCGCACGTCGGCGGGTCATTTCGTCTGTGTGTGCGTCTCTGTGTGTGTGTGTGTGTGTGAGTGTGCGCGTGCACGTGTGTGTGTCTGTAGGCGTTGTGAAAGGATTAGAGGGGTGAAAAAGAGAGGAAATAGTGTACACGTGCAGGGGATAGTTAAATTAAACGCGAATGGGTTGGTCTACAAAATGGGAAGGGGAAAGGAAGGCTTCGGTCAAAGCTAGAGTCGCTACAGAGCGACGGCACGGTCGGCCATCTGAGAGGGCGCAGCTCGCTTCGCGCCTTTCATGCCGTGGCATCGCGGTTTGAGTGATTTTAATTTGCTTCGAAAATGACACGAAGTTTTCCATTTTTTCTCCGTGTCACTACGTTGCCTGAGGTTGCCTCAGCGCAAGCTTTTGACAAGTCAAAAAATCATTGTCGGGGGTATGGGGACCTTGAAGGAAAGTTCTGGCAACAAATTTTACACTCGAAGAACAAGAAGTGTGAAACTACTTGATTGAGCAGACCACTAAGCGATAAAAACTGAGTGATTTCTGGTAATCCTGTAATAGTCGTGTGGCAGCTGACTTCCAGATATCGTAGAAAGAGGTCTTGGGAAATTAGCTTTGCATACAGTTCTGCTGACCGACCGACGTCCACGTTCAGCTAGAATGGTTCGGTTTTAAGTAAATGATTTAGTAATGATTTAGTAATGATTTAGTAACGTCGCGCACGCGAGCCCAGAACGCAAGCTGAACAAATACTACTTTCATAAATAATTGAAACGGTTCGCGTCACTAATACTATTTTTTATTTCGACTAAAAAAGAAGTTTTTAGCGGCTCTGACCAGTAGTAAGGCCGGTAAGGCCAGGGCCAAGAGTTCATATTTCGCACACTTTCGGCACCGCGGGTCGCCCCCGTCGGTGGAGGAGGTTTCCGCGTCGCCCCAGCTAAAATATGACGCACTGACATTTAGTTACTCTTTCCTTGCCCGCTGGGGTTGCCCGAACCCCAAGAGATGTGGAAACCGCAAAACAGGTAGATGCTTAATTATGATTGCAGGGCTCCTTTAAGGTAACTATAGGGTGTTTTCACTGACGTAATTTCGTCCACCATTTTGTTGTTGCGATCTGTCTGGCGTGTGCCAAACTCGAGCATTTCAAGGATTTGCATGCCTTCTCAAATGCGTAGAGCACCGCTGACATCATTTCAACCGGTTACGATGTAATCCTTCAATGTAGTAAATTTGTTTGAAGAAACAAACTAACAACGAAATGGCGGAATGACGTCATGTGCAAACAACCTATATCAATCCACTTAATTTATTCTAACGCAAAGTTTGGGACATCCGGCGTTCGAAACTGTCGCAAAACAGCTAGTTTAAAGTAGGGGGTGTCGCGAACTTTTGTCGAACCAGATTTTTAGGTCGAACTTTCGGGGTTCGACTGGGTCGAACCGGTTCGACGAACCTTCGAACTTTTCACCAGATTCGACCGGTTCGACTTTGTGTACAGTGTGGCCAGACCTTGATACAAGCATGTCTAGGTTTGGTGAATGTTTTTTTTTAAGAAAAGGGTTATTTTATTTTATAAATAGTTGCAATTAAAAGAAACTAATTATAATCACTGAAGAGGTTAATAACTTAATTTTTTTGTACTGTATTAAGTGAAATAACCAATCAGCGCTGCCCTTAATTTATCCCTTAGCCATTACCATCCAATCCGAAGCCAACTGGCCAACCTGTCGCGCATGCGCCACACCAGTCGAACCTCAATACAAGTTTCGTCGAATTTTCCACTAGAAGTTCGAAAAAAGTCGAACCTGGTCGAACTCGAACCTCGGCCGGTTCGCGACACCCCTAGTTTAAAAGCCTGGTTCAGACAGTTGCGTTTGACTGCGTTGCAGCAGCTAGAAACCAGGACAACCCTGCTGCTTATATCGCGTGCCAAGATGATTCCTTGAATTGGATTCCACGCTTCATACGATGCACAGATGTGCCGGTGACTCGCTTTCGGTTCTCGACGCGACGCAGTCAAACGCACTCAAACGCAAGTGTCTGAACCGGCCTTTAGAGTGCACGAGAAATCTTTCTGTGTGCAAACAAACAGCGTCGTTCCCATGTGCCAGTCCAAAACGCAGTTTGGGCTCGGCGTACGCAAAGTGGTGACGACGATTTTTGTTTGTGTGTGTTTGTGCGCAAAGATTTTGCGAACACTTCTCTAAAACTCGCTAGTGTCTGAAATCCGCAATATTTAATGCTAAAAAAAAAAAAAAAAGAAATCTTAAGTTTATAAAAATTGCTTGAGTCCAGCGTATTCGATGACGAATAGAGATTTAATTTTAGCGGCTGGCGACGCCAAAAACCTACGAAGCACACATCTGTGCAACCAAAAGCGGATCCAGAACTCCGTCTTTTGGGGGGGGGGGGGGGGGGGGGGGGATTTGTAAGGATACTATTCTCCCATTCATGCGTGTGCACCCATGTCAAATTGCCCTCCAAGAAGGGGGGAGGAGGGAGGTCGACTTTGTTTGAGGGTGGGGAGGGGGGGGGGGCACCCCCGTCGCCCCCCCCCCCCCCGGTCGCCCGCCCCCCCCCCCCCCCCACCCCCCCCCCCCCTTGGATCCGGCCCTGTACAAAACTGGTCCATGAAGTGACACCAGACTTCAGCTAAACTTACCCTTTGATTTTATTTCGCCAAGTTTACGGAAAGCAAGTGTTGGACTTAATTTGACGAACCTGTCGCTTATATCATATAATGAACAGTCTATTTCCTAAAACCAAAATTGTGAAATGCTGCCAATGAGTACTTTAGGAGGGCCGATAATTCAACAAATTTCCTTCTCGGCCTAGATCAAACTGCCGAAACATTTCTCGAGTACTTAATTTCTTTAAATAAAACATGCCGAGATTATAATACTTATTTTTTACAGATTCTGTGAGTCATTATACGAGACTTTCTTAATCTGCGAAGTTCCTAAGAAGTTGGTTGTTCACGAAAACCAAACAATGAGTGATAAACTCGTGAGTTCATCTGGTTTTTCCCGACTCAGCACATTGCTAATCAGGCTGTCGACCTGCTTCTTTACATGCATTTATTAAGGCCCGTTTACACATTTGCAACAGAGTACTCTTAAAATTTCTTTGGGCACTGGCACGCAGGCGCCATCTATGTGGGGGCCCTGGAACTGCATTTCACAAGAGCGAAGGTTTTGCGGGATAACCGAGGTCAAATGTCTTGTGCGAATAGTAGATTTTGAGTTCGAAGCGAATTCGAAGCGAATAGTAATTTTGGCCGAATATTTTCGATTCGAATATCGAATAGTTTTTCCATGCTTTTCACTACCATTGCATAATACTTAGACAAAAACCCAGCTAAACTTGTGAAGGTTGTTCCACTTGTTCATTTATAAGCTAAGTTTAATTTATCTATATTTATGAATTATGACCTTAGAAGGTCTGATTGTCTTGGGATGGCAAGTAAACGACGGATTTGACATAAAATGAATCCTGTAGAGATGGCCAACTATACGGTAAAATACATGCAAATATGTATCGAAATATAAATACAAAATACTTCGTCAAAAATGTATTTAATTACGAATCTAATTACATTTCCAAAAAGAATTTAAATACAAGATACAAATACAACCAAATGTATTTGTCTCCTCCAAATACTTTTCCAAATACATTCCTCAAAATTTGCGTCAGCGACTTCCGGGTACCTGCAACGGGTTTCCGGGTATCTCATTTTCATTTTGCATCGCACACTCGGGGGTTAGTGTGCGAGGCTCTAGTAATGCAATAGAAATATAATAAAAAAAATGTAATCAGCTTGGACGTAATAGGTGAAAAAAGTACAGAGCTTCAAGCAGCTTTTTTTGTCGTTTACATTTTGGTATAGACCAACAAAGAACCGAGACTACCAAGACGCGCAGCACTAGCTAGAGCATTTTTTATTGTTGCAACTCGCACCAGTTACAAAAATCTGGACGACCCGCGCATTTAGGATGTTCCAGGCAATAATATGGATGGAAATCAGGCTGGAAAGCAGCACAAGTTGTCACACAGGAACTTATTTAGCCAGTCTGCCAGTGAACGTCAGTTTCGTCACTATTCTTGCCCTGGACTAGCACCGTAATCACAAAGTCACTAAACGCTTGTGCTTGATTGAGAGACACTGCATTCGGTGCAGAACGTAGTTTTCTCCCTGCTCTGGACAGTGACAATAAATTTGAGGGATGTATTTTCGCCCACAAAATTGTATTTAATTACAATTGTATTTGAAATACACACTTTTTAGTATTTAAATACAGACGTCAAATACATTACCCAATTTGTAATTAAATACAAATGCAAAATACACAAAGTATT